TATCATTTATGTTTTATATATTTACTAATTTTCCAACCATTTTTTTATAATCCTACTGATTCCCAATGACATTATTTGGAAATACATCACATTACAGAAGCACAATGGGTCGCGAACGCCATTTCATTTTGACTTCAAGTGTTTTAGGTTTGATTTTAGCCTGTCCTGCTAGACTTTGGGGTCGTTTGCTTCTTTAGGCTCATTATTCGATCAATCCCTCGATGACTTCCAGAGCCGGCAGTTTGATGAGCGAAAACCAGGGTGAAAGTTTAAGCTTGTGTGTCTTTGTCAAAATTATGACAAAGACTTTCCCAAAATAAGGCAGTCTGCAACCAGGGAGTTCCTCTCAGCCAATAAAACATGCTCCGTGTCAGAGCTATCCACACTAGTGAGTCAGCCAGCCTCGTTTCTCCATCTACCACTCTCCGTCTCGTTCATTCCCTCCATCCGTCTCTGGAGAGCGCTGGCTCAGGCAGCAGTAAACGCCAGCCAGCCCGCCCTGTTTGACTGACTTACAGTTACCAAAGGGCATGATGTAACGCTAGTTAAAACCGAGGAGTGTGTTCAAACACACACACACACATCTGACAGCTTTGAATTAGAGTCAAACTGGTTTCCTCATGTCTATTGAACACCTCTCAGACCTCAACCTGAGGTCCATTGCATTCCTCCACCCAGATCTTCCTGCTGTCCTGCATCCCAACACTCAACACCATCTCCTCAACTTCAGTCAGTTTTGTACACTAGATATCCACTGGAAATAAGCTGAAACTCTGTGCTACAATATATTAAGTATATGCATGTGTCTTAAAGGGATAGTTTACCTAAAAATGAAGTCTGTGGTCATTCACCATCATGACGTTCCAAAGCCGCTTGATTTACTCTATTCTGTGAAACACAAAAGGAGAAATTTTGAACAATGTTCACGCTGCTCTTTTTCATACAGTGAAAACATGCACATATTGAAATGGGTGCTTTTATGTGATCTTAGAAGACCTGATCATATTTGATTACTTTTATGATAATTTTATATTGCTTTGTTTATGTGTTCATTTATTTAAACAACTGGTAAATTTTTAGTTATTTATTTATGTATGTTAGTTTGTTACCATGTTATTATCTAAGGTGATTTTCATGACAAGAACATGGTAATTAAAAAAAAAATATATATATAGATAATTAAGTTATTAAACATATAATATTTAACTTTGTATTTTTTAAATTAAAGATTTAATTTTTTTAATAATTTTTTTTTTATGTTTTGCTTAAATTTGAAGATTTTTGCTTAAACACCACACTTGAGACAACATTATAAGTATTTAATAGTGTACTGAAACTACTTATTTCTAATTTTATATATAAAATTATATTTATTTATTTGGCTTATTTCAGTTCTTTTTCCCTTGTTGTACACTCCTTAAATAATTGTAAATTGCATTTTATTTTCAACTTTTATTTCAACTTGTAACAGGTTAACTTGCCTGTTGTTTGAATACAGTAAAACATTAGTCTTGCCATAAAAAAGCTCAATAAAACATGTTGCATCCCCTGGTCAAAGTGTACAGGTTTTGTAATGGATATATAGTTTTTTATATCTCCTAAATATTCTAGGGATGTAGAGGAAGAGGTTATGAGAGTAAGGGTAAGCGTGTGGCTAAAGGCCATGATGACAGCGGTCACAGGAATGGCCCAAGCAAGATTTAAACTTCCTGTACTGTTGGGCTTTTAACATTGAACCACTGCGCCTTCATTTTGGAGTGAATCCCAGACCACATGCATGAAGGAACTCAGTCTTGTTAACTAGAAAATCCTTATCTTACACCCAATGGATCCATATTGACTGTGACTTTGTTGTCTAAGTATGCTGAAAAAAAACCCTAATTTCTTTAACTATTAATGATCCGAGATGTCTTGTGCAGGACAATTTAACATCATGCAAATCATGTTGTCCAAATATCTTAAAATTAAAGGCTCTGCTTATGTCTAAGGTTTCTTGAAGGAATGTGAGCAGATATCAATGTGCACATCCTGTTTTGTGAGATTGCAGCTTCCTGTCTGTGTCCAACCACAGTGCCAGAATATAAAGAGCACTTTTAGCCATTTTCTGCTATGAAACCCATTCACAAAAACTGTACTTATCTTCAACATGGGCGGCCATTGTGTACAAAGATTAAGTGTGTCTGTTCATGTTGGACTAATTTTGCCAATATTAAAGTCTGATGATGTTCAAGCATTAAGCAGCAGATAATATAAAGGGAAGTCTTGTTGACGTTTTTAATTACTTTTTTTATTTTTGGATCAGCTGGTATTTTGATAAAACAGAAATCAGATATAAGAGTTCAAAATTTTGGTGGGTTTTTTTTTTTATGTTTTGAAATTCTCTTACGCTCACCACAGCTGCATTTGATCAAAAATACAGTAGAAACAGCAATATTGTGAAATATTATTACAATTTAAGATAACCATTTCCTGTTTTAGTATATTTTAAAATGTAATTTATTCCTGTGATGCAAAGCTGAATTTTCAGCAGCCATTACTCCTGTTTTCAGTGTCACAAAATCCTTCAGAAATCATTTTAAAATGCTGATTTGTTGCTCAAGAAACAATTCTTATTATTATCAGCGTTGAAAACAGTTGTGCTGCTTATTTCGTGGAACCCATTCTTTGATGAAGAGAAATTTCAAAAGAACGGCATTTAATGGATCCTTGCTGAATAAAAGCATTCATTTCTTACAAAAAAAAAATGTTACTGACCCCAAACATTTGAATGGTAGTGTAAATGACAGAACTGAATTTTCATTTTTGGGTGACCTATACCTTTAAGAATTCCCCCCTTAACCCACTTATCTCTGGTCACTCTAATCTATGTTCCTAAACAGGGTCTTGCGGATAAACTCCATGTTTACCCGGTTAGTAATCTCTGTTCACCAGTGGGTGTATTTGCCCACCTTTGAGCGGACACCTCCGTCCCAGAGAGGACAGCGGCACGGTCGATGTTGGGACATGTTGCTTATTTGCGATTCATTCCCGTGTCAGTCTTTCTGGCTTATAGCTCTTTGTTGTTTATGAGCCTGTGCGTTAATGTACAACAGAACAGGAAATGCTTGCAGAGTTTGTGGGAGGGCACATAGGAATGACGTTTTTTGTGAGTGCAGAGGGAAAAGGGGAAATTAAAGAGAGAGGATGAATTCAGGAGCACGAATGCAGAATTCTTTAATGTGGTTGTGTTTGTACGACTGTTGCTCTGGCCTCTCCCTCTTCACCACTTCCTGTTTGAAACCTGCATGGATATGGTTAAAGGAAGGTTTTTACAAATGCAGTCACGCTGGGAAGGATGTCTGATTATCTGATCAATTGAAACAAGGTGCCGGTCCGAGCTTATCCACAGACACATACTAAATTTGGCTTTGCGGTACCATAGCATCCTCCTTCAGATCCTTAAACCTTGTTAGGGTCATTAAATGTGTCCTCAAGCCTCCTTTTCTTGCCCAATAAACACACAACGCACAGAGAGTGTTAATTTGGCTAATTTAAATTAGATTGAAACTCTTATGAAATTACACCACACTCTCACCTCAGTTACAACGATACACACTTTTTAAATCCGTACAAGAAGCAACAGCTTTGTTACAAAACAGCAACAAATGTTTTTTATTGGCATTGATGGTTCCATAAAGAACCTTTTACATCTATGGAAACTTTTCGTAAAAGTTCTTAAAAGAACCTTTTTTTTTTCTTAGTGTGAAGAACATTTAACAATCAAAAGAAGCTTGTGCATTAAAAAGGTTCCATGGATGTTAAAGGTTCTTCCTGGAACCATTGATGCCAATAAAGAACCTTTATTAGACTTTATCAAACTTACAATTTGAATCGGTCTAATGACTCTACACTCCATTTTTGGTTCCAAATGAATCTTTCAGTGAACACTTCTTAAAAGAACCATTTAAAGGGGTCCTATTATGCTCTTTTACAGAGTCTTGATTTTGTTTTGGGGATGTACTAGAACAGGCTCTCATACTAGGTTGTTCGAAAAACACATTATTTTTCACATATTTTACATTATTACAACACCTCTCTCCCCAGTCTGGCATGAACGGCTCGAATAGTTCCTGTATCAAATGAAGGCCCGCCTTCTGAAATACGAAATGTGCTGTGATTGGTTAGCTGGGCCAGTGTGTGCTGTGATTGGTTAGCTGGGCCAGTGTGTGTTGTGGTTGGCAGCACTCTGCGAGCTTTAGTGTAAATATTGCGTCAATATCAAATCAATTTGAGCACTATTTAAACCCGGATGATTGTACCCACTCTAAGTTCGTCTGCCTTGGGAAAGCTAGGGCATCTCCGACATAGTGATAACACTCGTTGCCTTCTCTAGTGCAGCTCAACCAGGTCTCGTCCCATTCGTTGATATTTGTGATATCGCAAATCCCGGAAAATATGCGTTGTAGTCCAAACGAGTCATTCATTGTAGTTTTTGAAAAGTGATTTCTGTTAAATAAAATATCTCCTTTTGAAGTGGACTTTGAGCTTTGTAACTTTGCAGATCTTTTTTATGCTCAAACAGCAACATTACAGACTAACTAAAGTTGAAAAAGTGAAAAAGCATAATAGGACCCCTTTAACTAGGTTCTGGAAAAAAATATCAGCCTGATTATGATTATTAAATTGTAAATATACTGTTGATGTTTTCTCTGACAGATATGGAGAGTGCTATCACGCTGTGGCAGTTTCTGCTGCAGCTACTGCTGGACCAGAGCCATAAGCACCTGATTTGCTGGACGTCCAACGATGGCGAGTTCAAGCTGCTCAAATCGGAAGAAGTCGCCAAACTCTGGGGCCTGCGCAAGAACAAGACCAACATGAACTACGACAAACTTAGCCGAGCACTACGCTACTACTATGACAAGGTTACACAAGCTCATATTTAATAATCATTCTCATCAGAAAACGCAACAATTTTTGTACGGAAACATGATTTTTTTTTGTTTAAATAAAATATAAGCGTGAAGGTCCACCCCTAAACCTAATCGTCAGTGGGGCTTAAGCAGATCGTACTAAACCGTACACCTGAGATTGTACAAATTCGTCAAATTGTCAAGTAGTTCCAAATTGCCATTAGAGGTATAGTAATCATCCTCTTTCTTTTGCAGAACATCATAAAGAAGGTGATTGGCCAGAAGTTTGTATATAAGTTTGTCTCGTTCCCTGATATTCTGAAGATGGATCCCCAAGCGGTGGAGCTCGGTCGGGATGGGGGTCACGTTGCAGGGGGCGTCATGTTGCAGGAGGTGGAGTCAGATTGCGGTGAGGGGGAGAAGTCTCCGAAGCTGTCGCTGTCATCGCTGAGAAGCCCCGCCTGCAGGAATGAGTATCTCCACTCTGGTCTGTACTCGTCATTCACAGTCAGTTCCCTCCAAAGCCCGCCTCCGCTGCTGCGTCCAATCAAAGTCGAGAAGCAGCGATGGGGTGAACGAGGGGAGGAGGGACAAACGGTGATTCGCTTTGTCACTAATCGATCAGAAAAGGTCGTTCCCCTGGCTTCCTCGCCGCCACCTGCATCCACGGAGGTTTTCTTCACTTCAAAAACCTCCCCCTGCTCGTCCCGTAGCCCCTCCCCTTCTCATAGCCTTGTCTACATGCTGCGGCAAGAGCGGAGCCCAGGGGCTCGCATAGACGAATCAGAGCAGAGTGCTCAGCCTCTAAATTTATCATCCGGTCACAGGGAGCGAGCCCAGAATCAGGCCACGCCCCCCGAGAGGAGGACCGGTAGCAACGGACTGCCTCCCAAAGCTCGGAAACCCAAAGGGCTGGAAATCTCCGCCCCTTCCATACTGTTTTCAGGAAGTGACTTGGGCTCCATCGCCCTCAACAGCCCAGCACTGCCCTCAGGGTCACTTACACCAGCCTTTTTTACTGCACAGGTACCAAACTATGTCATATGTACATTTATTTTTATGTCACATATACACGTTCCAAAACCTAATGAGCTGCCTATCTAGACAGCATTTTAAGGCATCAAAGCAAAGGATTTTTCTAAAATATAGGAACAAAACATAGTGCCTTCTTTTGGCTAATAGCAAATAACTCCAGAATGCATAGCGACAAGCTCAGTCAAAGAGAAAGAAATGTCAAATACATTTCATTCAAAACCAAAAATGACTGATAATGACAAAAAATTACTATTTTACATAACATTTGTGAGATATGTAATCTTATACTATTAGAATACAGTGTAGTTAGCTTAACAAACATGCCAATGAAAAGCTGTATTGAATTGATAAAGTTAAGCTAAGCATAGGCACAAGCTAAAATAAATGTTAAAAACGCCAACATTTAACTTAATATCAAACATTATTGCTCAAATGTAACTAAAAATGACACTAGACAATGGTTTAATGCTGTGTTCATTAGAATATTGTGTCTAATGAGTTAGCTTGGCAACATTCTATTAGATTAAATTGTGAGAAGTCAATCTAAGCAGTAGATAGCAAGGCAGCTGTGTTTTTAGCAAATAGGTAATATTGGCCTGATTTTGTTAGTAATTACAAGGCAAATTTTATCTTCTTGTACATTAGAAGTGTACTTATATTTACCAGAAGTATCAACAGTTTTGTCTTAAGTAAAAAATGACTATTGATCCCAATATGCAACGTACAATGCTATGTATTTTTATGCTTGGTAGACTATCATGTTGGTAGCTTAGTAAGATTCTAATTTTGCCCTATTTAGTTGCTGCCTTTGTAGAGCTTTTGGATCAGGTTTCATTCAGCTGTAGGCTGCTCTCTAGGTTTTGGAACTGAGCTATAAATGAACTCAAAAAACATCCTCTCCAGCACTGTTTATAGGCCTTCAACAGGTAACAAATAGACAGGACACACACCTATACTGGTAATACAGCTATTCTATGAGACGTTTCGGTCTTTACTGGGTGTGTAGGGAGAAATGCGTGACAGGCAGACAGGTTTTAAAAAAGAGGTAGAGTGAAACGGGAGGAGGGAAAAGACAGACAGAATGGCATAAGCAAGAGAAGACAGACCTGTAAGTAAAGCCATATGTCCGTAATCTCGCACACTACAGCAAAGTGACACAGGACAGAGAAAAACAGAGCAAGAACGAGAAATTGATTTCACATGCTGCCCTATAGCCACAACCTGGTGATCCAAAGTCCATGACCCATGGGAAGCTACATGCTTGTGTAGATTTCTCTCCCGCTTTCTCTCTTAAAGGGATAGATCACCCAAAAATTAAATTTAACATTGTTTACTTACACTCATGTCGTTCCAAAGATGTACGACTTAGATTTGACGCAAATGCAAGTGTATACTATGCATACTCTGTTTGATAGGTTGCATGAGCACAGATGTTTCATCCTTGTCCAGTATCTGCGCTGTTTCTCTCCGAACATTTTACACATTTAAACTAGTGTTGCCGATATCTGTTAACCCCTTCAAATGCATTCGTCATCGCAGGTGTCTATTGTTGTTGCCATCGCCAGTACTTAGTTAATGTTGTTGTTATATTTGCTTCTTTTTTGACTGTAAACAACGGGTTGGGAAGTGTTGCCACCTTGTGGACAAATTAATTACTGCAAAAAAATACAAGGCGCATATGCGTGGATGTGTATATGTATCGAGCCTAGCATACACATAAAAACTGAAGTATACTTTAGTAAAGGATAAGTTAAGCTGTTCAAGTTCTCAAGGGGACGCTTTTCTTTTTTTCTTAAATATCAGCCTGTTCCTATAGACCAGTGTTTCTCAACCCTGGTCCTGGGCGCCCCCCAGCACTGCACATTTTGTGTGTCTCCCTAATCAAACACACCTGATTCAACTCATTAGCTCATTAAAAGAAACTCCAGGACCTGAAATGGGTGTCAGATAAGAGAGACATACAAAATGTGCAGTGTTGGGGGGGCGCTCAGGACCAGGGTTGAGAAACACTGCTATAGACCTTAGTCAGGGTAGCGCAATAATTAATATTTGACAGAAATGAAACCGAGGCTGAGGGATAGAAGTACAGCGTGTTCAATGGATTGTACTGTTATTTAACAACATAACGATTGTCCAGTTGATGAAATGTCTTTTTGAAAAAAACTTTCAGTAGACAAAAACTCAATAAAACTCAAAGTTGGCGAGAATTACGAAATCCATATAAAGACTGCAATTCTATCCATCACAGCCTCTTTAAATTCAATATGGCGTCTAACCTGACTAAGTTCCATTGTACGACGTCAGAAAGCTTGAAATATAGTGCACAAGCCGTATGGACTCATTTTATGGTGCCTTTTGGAGTTCAACAGTGCCTAGTCACCATTGAAAAAATTTAAATTGGGACAATTGTAAACAAAAGAAAGTTAAACAGATTTTGAATGACATTAGGTTGAGCACATGTCTGAAGTTTAATTGGGGGTGAACTGTTGCTTTAAATATACAGAAACATCTGCAACAGACAGTTATTTCATAATGCCAGATTGAGCAAAATGCTCCATCTGCTTGGATAGATAAAACAAGCGGCAACTATGTCCAGGACAGTTGCCCTATGGCTTACAGGCATTGCATTTGTGCTATAAATCCTTAATGCTTCAAAACTTGTACTGTTCAGGTGAAAAAATCTGGGAAAATTTTTAAAGGGGTTCTCAGACTATTTGTGCATGACAGGCTTCACATGCTATTGCCTGCTAACCGACGTAAAGACGTGTCTGGACATGCGGAGGCTCGCATTCGCCTTTCCAAAGTTTCAAAAAGACATTGGGATTTCATGATCTATGACTTCAGTGACTAATACAAATAATACCTATGTTCTTCAGTGACTAATACAAATAAAATCTCATGTTCCTGTTCCCCCCTTTCACGATACCTCCTCTACTCCTCTCTCGCTGTCTCTCCAGACTCCCTCTGGTTTGCTGTTGACGCCCAGTCCTCTCCTGTCCTCCATTCATTTCTGGAGCAGCCTGAGTCCCGTAGCCCCTCTCAGCCCCGCCAGGCTACAGGGCCACGGGTCACTCTTTCAGGTACGCACAAAACATTCTCAAACCTGTAAAAAGAGGAATCTGAAAATGAGGATGTGTTTGATTTTGTTTAGCACTGACGTGCAAGTGTGCTTTAGAAAGTGATTCGCTTGTCTGTTTTGCGAGCGTGTTTGTGTTTGGTGTCTTGTTTCAGCCTTCCTGTGAG